TAACACCGTGGAGCCGGTGGGCGGGACTTGGTGTGATTGACGGCCCTCCGGTCCAATAGGAGAGGCAGGAATATTGAAAGGCCTTTTAAAGCTGATTTATTTTCCTTTTTGCTCTATTTTACTGAAACTAAAGTAGATAAATAACAAGCAGAGGCATATACTCCTTTAACTCTGATGATACTGGCTTACAAAAATGAAAAGTATAAGATCAAACAGAATTGTAGGAATTTTAATAAATAAATATGATTTCATGGCCTTCACCACAATATAGTATTATTTATTATTATTTGTTTTTTCCAGATGACGAGTTTGCAGCTGAGCGCCAAAGAGGAAATGCTGGAGAAGTTCCTGGACGCTGCAGCAAGAGGAGACCTGTCCCAGGTGTCCACCCTTCTGTCCAACGTCCCTTCACTCATCAACCAGACGGGACGCAGCGGCTGGACGGCGCTGATGCTCGCGGCTCGTAACGGCCACCACCATGTGGCGGAGAAGCTGCTGCTGCTCGGGTGAAACGCTGCTCCTCCACGTTTTACACTACCGATACCGGTACTGGTACCGGTACCGATACCTGAGGTTTAGCATCAAGCGATACCGATATCAGCTGAATCACTTTAAATGTTTCATTTTTTTAAAAACACAGGCATAAATGAATTTATTTGATAACTCTGCACCAATGCAGCTCACTGAAAGACACCAACAGCTTCAAAACCATGAAAACAACTTTCATTTGTTCAGTCAGAGAAATTAGGAGTTTAACAGCAAATGCAAAATAAATAATAAGGAAACAAACTGACATAAACTACAAGTTGACTAACTAAGTTAAACAACAAATTGTCTTTCAATCGGTTCAGAAAGTTCAGCCAGAAAATCCAAACATAATGTAAAATAAATAATAAAGAATGACGTCACTCAGAGCACAAAGTGCAGAACTAGACTGAGTAGATCATGGATCACCGATACAATCTGGAATTTTGGAGCGACACAGATATGAATATCTGATCAGTGCGTCTCCAATTATGATTCGCTATTCAGGTGATTAAAAGTCCAGAACTGGGTCAAACTCAAACAGTTTAACTCGGGTTCAAGAAGTTTCTGATCAGCGTTTAAAATGCTGAAAACTTTCACTGATTTCTGAATCTGGTTTTGTTTTTGTCCTCCAGTTGTGACAAGTTCTGTGTGAACAGTTCATCGCAGACCGCCTACGATATCGCCAAGTTCTGGGGTCACAGACACATCGCCGGCCTGCTGGGCCAGGCGGCCGACCGCGCAGCAGACCGCGCCACGCACGAAAACTACTTCAGCAGAGAGACGCTGGACCGGCAGAGTGGGAAGAGAACCGACCGGGTCTGGTTAGAGGCCAAACAGAGAGACTCTGACACCGTCTACCTGCTGTTCTCCGACCTCAGCCCCATGATCCAAACCCAGCAGGAGGGCGGCAGCGAAGCGGTACGAGGATAACGACGGGTTGATCGGGTCAACCCGCCGTGCTGCGTTAGATGAATTAGCATTTAAAGCAGCTGGTTGGATGAATCTGTTGAGTTCAGTTATTTATTTGACTTTTCTGGCTCCTGCAGCTGCAGGCGGACATGAAGCTGTGCCGGTTCAGGTATGAGGAAGTGAAGGACCTCCTGCTGAAACCTTCAGCCGTGACGATCTTCCTCGGAATAGAGAAGATGAAGAACCCGTCCTCCTCCTCCTCTGAGAACCCAGAGAGTCTCTCTGAGCCGCCGGTTTGGTTCGCCATCAACACAGACGAAGACGCTGCGGCCCTGCTGGAGCGCTGCAGAGAAAAGAACTGTTCATTCCCAAAAAGTCCCCACAGAGACCTGCTGAAGCTGAGCGAGGAAGAGGCAGGTGAGGAACTTTCTTCTTCTTCGTGGTTTTGCTGCCGGTTCTCGCTGAGCGGTGACGCTTCCCTCTGTGCGGCTCCAGGCGTCGTGGCGCAGGCCCGGTCGGTGCTGGCCTGGCACAGCCGCTACAGATTCTGCCCGACGTGCGGCGGCGCCACCAAGATGGAGGAGGGCGGCTACAAGCGGAGCTGTCTGAACTCTGAGTGCCGCAGCCTGCAGGGCGTCCACAACACGTGCTACCCAAGAGTCGGTACGAATCTGCCGCTCTGCTCCTCAAACACCAACATCAGCAGGAAAGTTTAGACAAACAAACTGAAGATAGTTGAGAGACAAACACAGAAAAGGTCAAGTTCTTATGCAGTTCCCAGTTTTTCAGCTGTCACCTTCACTTTCTATAAAAATGCTAAATGTATCAAGTATGATTTAAAATAAATTTTACTTCATATTTGAACACCTGGAAATTGGGCCTCTGTCTCTTTAAAAACTCCTGCTCTTTCTGAAGCTCCGCCTTCAGGACGTTGTCACAACATGGCTTCTCTATTAACCCTTTAATGGTTTTACCAGAGTTGATCTGAGAAGTAGCTCCGATAATGAACTCAGCAGGTGTTTGCTAATTGCTTCTGGCTAGTCTGAAGGAGCAGCGTGGAGGAGGAGCTGTGCCTCGAAGGCGGGGCTAGGTTCTCCCAGGTGTTTCGCACAGCTCAATGGTTGGCATGGAGACTAAAGTATTTCTCAAACATTCATGAAAGAATCACGTTTTTGATGAAGGAATAATATAATAACATGATGGAGAGTCAGAAATGTGATTTCCATGATGCTGGCCCTTTAACAGTGAGCGATCGTAGTTATAATGAAGAGTTAATGTTCAAACTAAACAGAGCAGGATCCTGAACACATCCCTGTGGAGCTCCATAAGCAAGTGAGATAATACATGAAAATAATCATAATGATATAGGAATAAAGTCATGCAACAATCGTTGTAATATGTGAGTGAAGTAATAAAACTACAGTAAAGTCAAAATAAAACCAGAATGATTTGATTTGATGAACTGAAATTCACTTATTGACCTGTAGAGGGAGCGCTTGGACACCAACGATCAGAACTGGATCTATTTATCTGATCAATGAAAATACCTTTAAAATTTTACTAGTTTAAAATGTTAATCTAATTCCAACATGTGAAATTTCCAGCTAATCAATGAACAAAGCTAAAAATACGACATTATACAGGTTAAATCAGTTTTCTGTAACTTGTTAAAAAGTCTTTTAATGTGAATTTATTTCTGATCAGAGATGAACATGGATGTTGTGAACCTGATTTCAGACCCAGTGGTCATCATGCTGGTGATCCACCCTGATGGAAACCAGTGTCTGCTGGGCAGGAAGAAGGTTTTCCCTGCAGGGATGTTTTCCTGTCTCGCTGGATTCGTGGAGCCTGGTGAGAACACACACACACACACATAAACACACACACACACACACACACACACACACACACACACACACACATAAACACACACACACACGCACACACACACACACATACACACACACACACACCACACGCACATGAACACACACACACACACACACACACACACACACATAAACACACACACACCCACACCCACACACACACCCACACGCACATGAACACACACACACACACACACACACACACACACACACACACATAAACACACACACACACACACCCACACCCACACACACACACACACACACACATAAACACACACACACACACACCCACACCCACACACACACACACACACACACACCCACACACACACCCACACACACACACACACACACACTCTGAGTGCGTCTCCTCGGCTGCAGGGGAGACTCTGGAGGAGGCGGTGAGGAGGGAGACGGATGAGGAGAGCGGCGTGAAGGTGGGCCCGGTCCAGTACGTGTCCTGCCAGCCGTGGCCCATGCCCTCCAACCTCATGATCGGCTGCCTCGCCGCCGCCGTGTCCACCGACATCACGGCGGACGAGAACGAGATCGAGGAGGCGCGGTGGTTTCCACGGCAACAGGTCAGCAGTAAATAACAAATTTTAGTGGATGATAAATTGTCCCAGAAGTTATTGCATTAAATGTTGTTGTTTTGAGATGATGTCCAGGTAATTGAAGGCATTTTAAATATCCAAACAAAACAACAATTATGAGAATTATGAGAACAAAATTGTCTTTTAAAAGGTTTGGTTGAGACTGAAGACGTTTGTCATCCAGTTTTTGGTCGAAAGAAAGAAAAACAAAAATAAAACAAAGGAAATTATTGAGTTTATTATGGGATGGATTTATTTATTACTAGTTTTCCCATTTTAAAAGGCCAGTATCAAGTAAATTCAATTTTTTCTAACTTTCCATCTCGTTATAAAATTTCTCCCTCATCAGAAACAAACATGGCAACCAGTCAGCTGTAAAACGCCAACAGGCTGTTTCTGAACCTGTTGGCGTTTTTGGTTCATTGCCCTGGGATTCGCTTCACTGGTCCTGAACCGGTCCAGACTGAACCGGTCCGGACTGAACCGGTCCAGACTGAACCGGTCCGGACTGAACCGGTCCGGACTGAACCGGTTCTGATTCCTGCTCTGAAGTCAGAATCCGGCGCTGCAGGCAGAATTTGGTCGCAGCTCTCCGCAGGTTTTGAAAACACAACATTGAGTTTTGTCTTCTGTTTGCAGGTGATCGACTCTTTGTTCAGAGGAGACCGCTCGGTGTTCATCGTCCCTCCCAGACAGACAATCGCCCATCAGCTGCTCAGACACTGGATCTGCATGAACTCCAACCTCTGATACGAAACCTTCAGACGGACCAAACATCGGATTTTTAATGAAACAACAGCTGCTGGATTCCAGACTGATCTCCACACTGTGCTTCAGGTTTTGCTTTTTATTTCCTGGTTAATGTGATTTTCTCTCACAAAGAGAAACAAACATTTACACAAAGGAAACCAGAGGAAGAAATCTGCTAGTGTAGATTTTTGGAGAATAACAGATCATCGTCATCAGCAAAGAAGTCATTTTCCAGGGAAGTAAAACTCAAAAGGTTTTGCAAAAATGTTTAATAAATTGCCTGACTTACCTTGACTAAAGTAACTGGATAGAAGCAACAGTTAAAAAAAAGTTTTATGACCTTTTGGGTCATAAAACTTTTTATTAATGTCAAACTTTTTTCTGATTAATTTTTCCTACATTTAAACCAGTGCTGCTCATGTTGGATCTCTAAACAAATAAAAGATCTCAAATGAATACATTTCTTTTATAAGTTGTCATTTCAGATGTTTTTATTTTTAGAACCGTCCGGACCTCATCGCTTCAGTAACTTCAGTAACATGCAGTTTCTGTTGGTGTTGTCATGGTGTTTTCAGCCACTAGGGGTCAGTGTTCCACCTCTGAGTTAATGCAGGACTGAAGGTTCTGATCCAGCTGCTGGTTCTGCTCTGAAGCAGCCGTTTGTTAAGTACTCGACCTCAGGGACCGGTTCCAGTGGTCCAGTCACCGGTTCCGGTTGCTCCAGGAAGTCCGTCAGGAGTTCTGGAAACCGAAACATGAAAGCCTGATGATGATGATGATGATGATGATGATGATGATGAGAGCAGCCGCTCTCTTCCTGTTCCTGCAGCAGAGGAACTTTGGCTCCGCCCATCTCTGCCCTAAAACCTGACTGCAGAGAGAGCAGCTGCTGCTCTGTGATTGGCCGAACGTCCCACGCGTGTCCTGTGATTGGTTTGGTACCAGGAATGTCCACAGTGTCCAGTTTGACGGAGAGGCTGCTGGTTGGTGACTGGTCCTTCTGCAGATGGTTTGGACAAACCAGGATCAGCTGCTTCTGTCCTAAAACGTCCGTCACCTGGAAGTCGGAGACGTCCAGGAAGTTCCTCTCCGAACATTTCTGAGAAAAACAACAGAAACACTGAAGACGTTTTGTTCCTGCAGTTTGGCTGATTTTTAAATGTTTTGCTTTCGATCAATGGAAACTTCTCATTTCTTATAACCTAACATTTTTAGTTGCTTGGATGTTGCGTTGCTATTGGTTTTTCTGTTGCTTTAACAGAAACAGTAAAAAGCTGTGAAGTTTATTGCTGAATTATTGTTTTATTCATTGTTTTATTTCTCCAGTTGTACCACAATGTGTACTGCACAGCTCCACCCCAAACTCATTTACAGAAATCTACAGAAGTGGACGGAGCTAAGACACACAGAGGCGCATGGCCAAGTGTCCGTGTTGCCCCAAACAGAAGCTAGCTATTTATTTCATTTTTTTACTGCATATATTTTTGATTGTACAATCTTTTACTGGAGGAAGAATTTATCCGCAAACAGAAACAAAACGAAAGAATAACATCGGATCACCTTCAGGTCCGGGTTCAGCAGCCACTGGCCTGCTGTGCTTCTCCTGGCGCTGGGGATCGTCGGGAAGAAATACGACTTGTATCTGCACAGAAATGCCATTTATACTCAGAATCAACAAGCATGAAGACATTATCTCTACCAGCAAGATGCCCTTAGTCACAGGAAATCTTGAGGAAAGCTGAATTTTCTTGTCACCTTCACATCTGAACTTCCTTTCTCAGAAAAGTGAAAAATAACAAAATAAACCATCAAAGTTCACAGAGGAGCTTTGAGTTTCTGTGGTTCAGAAACGTCTGAAACTAATAATCAGAATCAAAGGCGGTTTAGCAAGAAGGAACTGGTGATAAATGTTTTAGATACCAAAAGTTAATCAAGGTTAATATAACATATAAACTACATTTCAACATATTAAACAGAAGCAATGGATGGATGGATGGATGATGGATGGATGATGGATGGATGATGGATGGATGGATGATGGATGATGGATGATGGATGGATGGATGATGGATGGATGGATGGATGATGGATGGATGGATGATGGATGATGGATGGATGGATGATGGATGGATGGATGGATGATGGATGGATGGATGGATGGATGATGGATGGATGGATGGATGGATGATGGATGG